AATCTTCTCGGATAGCCCACAAGTCGACCGAGGAAGAGCTCCATCGCGAGAAACAGCTGTGCTCTGAACGGGCACAGGAAGCATTTACTGTCAAATACCAGCTTGTTGCACTTCAGGGACAACTCGACCAAGCCCTCGAAAAGATCAAGTCCCTCGAACAAGAACGAGACTCCTTCAAGAAAATGGCCGAACAAGAGCAGCAACTCCGGCTCATTGCCGAAGAAAGCAAACGTCCCGCATCCGACGACGAGAGAATTACGCCTCGTAAGCGACCACGGACATCCTCGATCAGCTCATCATCATCCGACGTACCCGATTTCGAGGAGATTACCCGGCTCTGGCAATGGGAGAAGCAGCGGGCCGACAGGGCGGTCCAGCAAGTGCAATTCCTCGAGACAGAATGCCGGTTAAGAGTTTGCGCAGCGGCAAAGGCCTTCCGTCGGAGCAGTTCGAGCCGAGGGAGCACGAGCACAAGCCGGCGATCTAGCCCTCGTCGCAAGCGTCCCAGTCTCCTGAGAATCGCAGATGCTGCCGATGCCATGATCATTGGAGGAAACGCCGAGGCATCTCCAGAGCTCCCTTCACCAAAGCGTTCCAAGACCGATATGCTCAGGGAGGAGATGGGCTCACGGAATGACAGGTTCTTTACACCGGTTGAGCAACCCGTACGTTTTTCTCGCACACCGAGTGTTGAGCCGCCAGATTTCGCGATGCTTGATAAGGACAGGACATCGCTACTGTCGTTGCTCGATGCTCCCCATAGAGAGGAAAGCCCAGCGTTGACGTTTAGCATCCCCACCGTACCAGCACCTCCCCCAGCCACAGTAAGGCAGGTTCAGCAAGAGCAAGAGACTCAGCAGCAAGTCTCTGAGCCAGAATCAGATGTCGAGGTTCATAGATCGGCCCCGCATCCCGAACCATCGCCCGTGGTGCCCGTCCACCAAGAGCCCTCCCCTCGCTCAGCCGCCCCTTCAACCGACCCTCTCCCCTCTACCAAAACCCTCAGCAACGACCTTCCCCCTATGGCTCCCCGCCCTCACACGTCGACTTCCTTCCACCGCTTCCAGCAAGCAGCAGCCAAGGCGGCCCTCACCGTCGTCACCACCACAACAAAAGTCCCCTTGAAGGAAGAGAACAAGGACCCCAACCTCGCCTCCAAGATCATGAAGATGCAAAAGGAGCAACAACAATACCAGACCCCAGCCCGGGGGAATGCTTCCACCGGCTCAGCAGGGGAGAACGACTGGGACAAGCCCAGCTTCGACGTGACGAACCCGGCTCTTACCCCGACTATGACGAGGGAGGAGGCTCTAGCGCAGATAAGAGATCGAAGAGTCCGCGCTAGGAGTGTCGGGCGTCCTGGTACTGCTGCTCAGGGTGGCACGTTGAGCAGGAAGGTCTCGACCGAGACGATTAAGAACGGATCGGGGCCGAGGGGCAGAGAGCAGGACAGGCGAGATATTAGTGTGCAGAGCGCGCCTACTGTTTTGCATGGGAGAGAGAATAGGGAGAGGAGCAGGGGTGTTGCGTCGGGTGCGAGGAGGGTCAGGAGTTGATTTCCGGCATGACGACTAATGAATGAAGATTTTTGTGGGAGAAGAAGAGTTGGAAAGGGGAAGCTTTGTCAGGATATGACATTCTGTGGTTTTATTTTTATCGATTTGGCTTTGGTTGGTTTGCGATTGTATACACGCACCCCTCAACCCACACACAACACCCGGTTTGGTTTGGTTTGGTTTGGTTTGGTTCGGTTCTACGGTCAGGTTTTCAGCATTATCATCATCACAGGGTAACAGGACAAGGCATCATCTCAGGAGTTTCTGGCTTTCAGGGTTCTCCGGGGGCGGGGCGTCTTTATCTCTCTGGGTTCTGGATACCAGCACACATAAACGACTGGACTGGAAATCACTGAAACTGGACAAAACTGGGGATACTCGGCGTTTGGTTTTCTATTTTCACTGGATGGAGCATGGATGGCAGGCAGGCAAACTTCTATAATACCCCTAACCTTTTGCGTCTTTTGTTTGTTGGCTAAGCTTTTTGAGCATGCATGGGTGGGGAGACTGACCAGCGTTGCGTTCAGGGGTTGGTTGGTCGTTGATGGGGTACTGTTGACAGGCTTCACTGGTTGTTTAATTGACATTTACATTGTTCTTATGACTACTTTGCATACCGAAGTTGATGCTGGTGTAATTCACAACGTATTATTACTGAGACTATCATCATCATGAGATGCTATGTAAACCAGGACCCATACATGTCAAGAGATATGAAACAGTCATTATCATCATCAGTCATATCGAGTCTCTCCCACCCTGAAACTATCACGTGTACCCAAAATCAGTGTCCTGTACCAAGCCCTTGATCTCGACTCGGTCTCAGCTTCCCTTTGAGCCATTTCCAACCTGCGGGGATAAAAAAGACCCAGAGCGACTCGCAACACTCCCATTCTCACTGAAAGAATGCCCAGCATTAGACATGGTTCTCGATTTTCTCTTGTTGTCTCTCGCGGACCTGTGTTGGTCCCTGGAAGCAGGCAGTTCTTTCTGCTCCATCATTGCTGTCGCGATCTCGCCGGCGGTGAGGAAGTACCCCAGCGACAATATCGCCGTGTCGTTCTCCCTCTCGGCCGTCGCCGCTGGCCAGACCACCACAACATCCAGAAAACTTGCTGCTTCGACTGGTGACTGGGGAGGAGAAGCTGACCCGGCTGAGGCCGTTCCTTTGGTACCCTTGGCACCTGAAGATGCGTTTCTGGAACTGCCGTTGGCGTGAGATTTAGCAGGCGATGACGCAGGCGAAGTCGAGGACTTGGTGCTGAGCGGCAGCCAACACTTCTTGTCCTTCAAGTCATTGTCATCGGGCCCGGTCTCAAATTCCACTCTTCGTTCGAGCTTCTGGATGTACTCCCACTCCTGGCAAGCCTTTGCGCAATAGGTCTTCAACTCAGAGATGAATGGCTGGCGCTTGGCCTCGAGCACAAGGCTCTCGACGCAGCTTGCAACGGTTCCGACGACAGACTTGGTGCATTTGGTGCTGACTGAGTTTGTGAGGCTTTTGAACTCGACGAGGGCTCGGAGGAGTACCGAACGCAGGTGAGCTTCGGCTTCTTCGTCCTCGCTGGCGAGATCATTGAGGAACTTGTTGAGTTCAGAGGATTCATGGAGTAGGTAGACCGGTTGAAAGATGTGGTTCCGCAGTTCGTGCCCCAGGATAGCTAGGAAAGCGGCCACTCTCATGTGTTTGGCGACTTGGGAATTTGAGACTGGGAGAGGAAATATGCGGTCGGTGCCGCTGAGAGCAGTGTGGCTCTTGATGGCACTACAGTTGATGCCGTTCAGGGGTAAATCATCGCACAGGTAAGTTTCAGCCAGTTTGACGGCCGATGTGCGGACGGAGTCCAGAATACTGCAACTTTGTCCCCCTCAAAGTTAGCGTCTTTGTCAGGACCGGCTCAGGTACCTTGAGCATAGGAAGGGCATACATGTGTCTGTAGTTTTCCATGATGGGAACCAGCTTGGTCGAGAAAGCTGACAGTCTTTGAAGTTCCCCACGCTCGTGGTACAGCTCCTGTTTCACGGAGTCGATTTGCTGCTGCATTCTGTCCCTCTCCTCTCCCAAGTTCTTCTCATTCTCGGCGAGCTTCTTCTTGGCATCCTGGTATTGAGAGGCAAGAGCTTGCTTTTCCTTCAAGTTATCCTGAAGCCTTTTGGAGACATCGGCGCCTTCCTTCTTCGCTGTCTCCAGAGTTGTCTTGAGTCTAGCCACTTGGTTGAGTGTGTGGTTATTGTCGCTTTCGAGGTCCTGGTATTCCTTTCGAAGTTTCTTGTTTTCAGCACTGATAGCAGCAAGGTTTTTGACTTCGGGGTGGGATACCAAGGTCTCAAACAGACTCTCAATATCGGCCAGTTGATGTGTGTTTGACGAAGGGGCGTTGGAGGAGAGCGGTGTCAGGGTGGTTGTGGCCATGGTGATCAAGTGGCTGACTTGGTACTGAATCAATCGGCAGTGCGTGGGGCACTGAGATGGGGGAGTTGCTCAAGGGGGAAGGTATATTGAATAGTATGAGATCACCGGGGACCGAAATGTTCTCCGAGTTGAAAACTGGGAAGGAGGCAACATGGAGGTAACCACTTTCTTTTCAACTCATCCAACATCTTGACCATGATGCACCATTGCTTGCCAGATCGATGACTGATTTCCTGCAACAACAACTCTGTGCCACCCCCATTCTCTCTCCTGGCCAATAATGGCACAGTTGGCCTCAGTGCGTTGATTGTCCAGCAACTTGCCACATGAAGTTCAGCCTTCTATATCATAATTTGACCCTGTTGCAGCAACCCCGCGTCTTAATCAGTCTCTGTAGGGTCGGCCGCCATGACCAAGACATGGGGTGGGCCAGTGAGGCGAAGAAGTCATCCTCCAAGTTGACTGCAGGCCACCGTCGAAATCCGCCTCCGCTACCAATCACATCTGAAAACGTCTCCGGATAAACAGCCAGTTCCGGACCACCGGGACAAACGGGGAGGCAGCATTTACATATTTGTAAATTTGTATGCCCCTTTCCATCGGAATGGCGTTGTGATATGACAAACTTGTATGAGGGCCAAATGTTTGACAATGAATTGTGATGAAAAAGCGGGAGCTCTTTTGGTAAATTGAGACAGACCTGTCATGACGGAATGCCGTTTCATATTTGGAAGCAAACCGGCGCCTTATTCTGCAGCCCTCCGTGATCACGCGGGTTTGATTTCGAGATGTCTTCACATCCAGAGCTTTTCGAACAAACGGATCAAAGTGGCCTGGACCATGACATTGGTCAATTCATAAGTTTTGACTAGTGGATTTGTGAAACTGCAAGCCATTGTGCTGTGCTGTGTAACCCCTGATTTCGTTTGATAGGGGGCACCTGCATCTCTAGCTGAGGTTCTCCAACGCGAATCTTCGAGAATAATTTCAACAACAACAACAACAACAACAACAACAACAACACATACAAGGCGCGATTAGTTCAGTGGTTAGAATATTCGCTTCCCATCATGTCTTGTTTAGCGAGGGACCCGAGTTCGAATCTCGGATCGCGCAACTACCCTTGGTTTCTTTCTTTTTGACTTTGTTGCTAGCCATGGCAAGCGTGGTCAACGTCTTTTTGGCAGCAGAAGGAGCGGAGGTGAAGAGAGGATGTGGCGTATGGACTGTTATCAACCCGGACCTTCTCGGAGCTCATTAATATCAGTGCCAAAGTGTGAGGGATGAACAGAAGCTAAACGTATAAAGAGACAATGGTTAGGCAGCGCTTGATGGTAGAGAATGTGCTTCGAATATTAAGGCTTGTATCGAGTACTGAATATCATGATAGAGGCGACAGTAAGAGTCGGCACCTGGCTTTATAACATAAGCATTGTCGTGCTTCTGTCTGTCTTTATAATGCCATACCAAATCAAGGTGATTACTCACTGTGAGATTAAGAATGCTCAATTTTGGATGCAGTCATGTCTTCTGTCGAGCATTTGTGGAACAGTGAGAAATCGTGCCATTTTCTGTAGACTTACAAGCCCGAGACTTTCAGGAGAGCAACGAGTTTTAAAAAGATACTTGAATATGTAGCAGAATGAAAAGGACTGTTTTATCGTATAAAAGGCCGAAGTTTAATCGCTGGGGCTTAGATGAGCCTTGGGGGGATGGAGCAGATTGATGCAACTCGATATTTCATTGGCTGCAATACTGAGCTCTGCCACAGAGTAGAGGTCGCCCATTTCGCGGCAGCCAATGCACGTCAGATTTTACATGACCGACCCAGCATCTACGCCTCCTACGTGCCTTTTCTTCGTGGGTGCGAAGTCGCCGGCTTGAAGAGGAAGTTCAATGGTGGTGCGGCCCGAGCTCCTTTTGTGAAACATCACAAGTGTCGAAGACAAAGGACACGAGCCACCATGCGCCACGAGCCACGCATCCGGCAACATTGCGGAAGCCTCCCGCCACCATTTTTGAGCTCCGAACAAGATGGACGGGAGCTCGAAGCACACCCCTGTCATCATGCTGCTGACATTTAAGGCTTCAATATTTCCAACTGCTGAGCCTACCCTGACAAACTAATGTAACCCAATTGGATTTTTATAATGGTGTTGAGAAGATCTGCCTTTATCATGTCTTTTTTATTTCCTCCCTGCGATGAGTAACAAATGAATGGATGAAAGCGCCGCCTAATCGATGAACCCCGCCGTGTTACCATCTTCTTGTTTATCCCGAAACCACTGAGAGCTAGGAAGCAGAACCACTCACTCGGCTCAATGGCCAAACCGGCCGGCGAACACCTGAATGCTCACGCAGCACCAGCAACAAATGGTCAGATGGGCGTCCAACCACCGCCTTCTCAACCACTCTCCACCACGCAGCTTATCACTCACATCCCCAAAATCCTGCCACATGAGCGCGTCTTTCCGATACAAATAGGGTCTGAGCTCTTCAAACTATCCGGCGCATCGCTTTCATCTGACGGTGTGTGTTCTGTCTGTACGTCTGGAGATGGCCAATAAATTGACTGACATGCACAGCGCCGTCGTATTTCTCTCAGTATTTCCTATGCCAGATAAGACAGGCTGAGGAAAATGGACAAGATATTACAACCGCCATCAGGACGCTCTCCATCGATCGTGACCCAGACACGTTTAGAGACATTTCTTTACACCTTCAGGGGTATCATGTGAAACCGCGGGACGCAACGCACTTTGTGCGCCTATTTGCCGACGCACAGTTTTACAGACGTGAGACAACGCTGCCCCTCACTGCAAGTTCGAAGACATCCTGGCTAACGTCCTAGCTTGCTAGTCCCCAAATTCATGTCCCAGTTGTACGAGGAAAGCATCTTTACTACCATTGGGGAGCGCCAGTTCGAAATACCACGAGAGCTATTCTCCGATGCAGGGAACTCACCCAACTTTTTCTCTTTAGGCTTCGCCGTCTTCTTTTCCTCACCAGATGAGCTCTTCCCTGGCCTAGACAGAGAAGGTCTCCTTCGCCCGCCCTCGATCGTGCCGCCTGCTGTGCCGGGTCGCAATGGGGACATATTTGCCGAACTGCTCGATCTTCTTCGAGGATATCCGGTTAATATTCGCGACGAAGGTCACCGGGCACTGTTACTTCGCGATTGCCGGTACTTCAATTTCAAAGGCCTAGAGCAGCGTCTAATCCCGCATCACATCTCTTATAACCTGTCCCGTAGGCGAGACGAAATTGTCCTTCGCCTCAGGGACATCCTCAAAAGCGGCATAACTGTAGCTCCCGAGCCTACCGCACTTGACCCTGCGGCCGGATGGGTCAATTACGCCCGCCCATTCGTCGACGACCGGCCTTACGAATTAATCCTCGAGATTGGCGACGAGAGCACGAGGTTGCAGTTTGGGCCCAATGGATCGACGACCAACATGAGGGCCGAGTTCTTTGGGGAGGTCAAGATTCGAGTGGCGAAGCTATTTGAGGTGATCTCTACTAAACTCAACCTGCCGCCCACAACCCAACCGCTCGGATTGTTAATGGCGCAAGGAGGGGCGAGCAGTCAGCCCGCTACACCGGGGAATACACCGCTCAGCGAGGATTTGGTGAGAGTTGTGATGGACCCTGAGGCAAGCGTCTTGCTGGACGGGAAGGCTTGGAGCTTGGAAGAGGCGGGAAATATCTCGGTCCCATCATCTGCAGGGGGACTGGGGGCTACGAATAGCGGTGGTGAACAGAATTCGCCCACGCCCTTACAGTTGTCTGTTCCGGGCTCCCAGCCGTTTTCAAGGAAGAGGAGGAGAGTGGATATGAATGGGGGATTGGAGGAATGGATCGTGCGGAGTGGGCAGTGGCGGCTGAGGATTCAAGGGGTCAAAAATGGGAAGGCGGCGGTCGAGTGCTGTTTGGTGGCGGTCAAGCTTGATGCCATGAGTTCAGAGCATGCTAGGAATGTGCAGAGGCCATTTTTAGGAGGCTGATTTTGGGTTTGCCGGGAAGAGATACCGTTGGATATGATGATGTTTATATGTTGGTACCGTACTTTGGAAGTGACGGTATCTGATATTCGTATTCATTTGTTATTATTAATCAGGAAAGTTCTTTGACAACAGACAGCTGGAAACAGCCGTAACAGTTCAGTGAGGCAACAGAGCGGTTGCACTGCTGATTCCATGTTCCAGTGGGTCCTTGGCCATCAGATGTTGCTGGCAAAAAGATGGGTCCCTCCAAATTGAGATTGACCTATCAATTTGGACCATGTCATGAGGCCCCCTCATTCATTGTCCAGCCATATTCTCTCAGGTGGGTGAGTTTTGTTGATATAGGGTCGGGATGTGTATGTGTATGTACGTGTCTGTAAGGTACGGACGTACAGCTGTTGGGTATTTGTAGGGAGTGAAGCAGTCGGGGCAAGATCTAGACTCCCGGCATCCCGGACCCAGCCAGTTGGGGCAACCGATGGGCACGACGCTTGGACCAGTCCGCGAGACGAGCGCGGTGTGGGCGGGTGTGCTTTCTGCGGTCAAGAAAATGCACGGCAGTGACTGGCTGGACGGGGCTCGACTGGCTGATAAAGCATGGGCAAGGAGAGAAGCGCGCTTGCCTGATTCGGGAAACGCCTCTGTCAACAATCAAATTTCCCCACCACTGTCACCCAAGTTCGACCTTCAGGCTTCCGACACCAACCTCAAACTTCCACTTCCCAGCAAACCCCAAGTTGTTGTCTCTTGACCCAGCTGTTGCCTTTGGTTTTGCTAACAGGCTATATTCATATTGCACTCCTTTTTGCAACTTCCGATTCCCCAGCTAGTCCATCAAGATGCGTGAGATCATCAGCTTGAACGGTATGTTTTTGCCCCTACAAACCTGAAGCTCCTTTTTTTTTTTCCTGGCGTGGCGCGCGTCTTTGGCCTCACCGCATCGGTTGGGGGCCCTCGATATCAGCGCATACTACCGACTCAACACCACCCTTCTTGAAGATCTTCGGTACTTTGAATACATACTGACATCCTCTGTCTACAGTCGGCCAGGCCGGTTGCCAAATCGCCAACTCCTGCTGGGAGGTACGTACAACAAAAGCCCTCTCGACTCGTCCTCGGTTGCCCGCATCGTCATCAGAGCTGCCCGTTACAAAACACGAGACCACGAGACGATCGACATCATGACTACACTATCCTGACACCAAACGCTTGACATGCTTGATGGATATGGACTATATTTACTGACTTGCTATGCTTAGCTTTACTGCCTCGAGCACGGAATCCAGGTATGCTCGCCCCTGATGTTTAGCTTTGGAGAACACCATGATACTGACAGTTCACGTCATTAGCCTGATGGATACCTCACTGAGGAGCGCAAGGCTGCTGACCCCGACCATGGCTTCAGCACCTTCTTTTCGGAAACTGGTGCGTAATGGGATAGATGATACAGCATGCTTACTCCTTCTTCCGGCCTGGCTGACGATGAATGCCCAAGCAGGAAATGGCAAATATGTTCCCCGGACAATCTACTGCGATCTCGAGCCCAACGTCGTCGACGAGGTCCGCACTGGTGCCTACCGTGGCCTTTTCCATCCCGAGCACATGATTACCGGAAAGGAGGATGCCTCCAACAACTACGCCCGCGGTCACTACACTGTCGGCAAGGAGCTTATTGATCAGGTGCTCGACAAGGTCCGCCGCGTGGCCGACAACTGCAGTGGTCTTCAGGGTTTCCTCGTTTTCCACTCCTTCGGTGGTGGTACCGGTTCTGGTTTCGGTGCTCTGTTGATGGAGCGCCTCTCGGTTGACTATGGCAAGAAGTCAAAGCTCGAGTTTTGCGTCTATCCTGCTCCTCAGACCGCCACCTCCGTTGTTGAGCCTTACAATTCTATTCTCACCACCCACACTACCCTTGAGCACGCCGACTGCTCCTTCATGGTCGACAACGAGGCCATCTACGATATCTGCCGTCGCAACCTCGGTCTCGAGCGCCCCAACTATGAGAACCTCAACCGTCTCATTGCTCAGGGTATGTTCCAGAAGATATCAGATATATATCTGGGCACAAGCTAACATTACATCCAGTCGTCTCTTCCATCACCGCCTCGCTCC